AAATAGAATCAAAATCTATTGCTCTCATGTATTTTTATTGACTAATARATGGACAATGGAACATTTTACAAACGTCTATTGGCAGCAAACTCGTTAAACAATTTATTGCCAAAAACCTGACAGTTGTCTTTGATCCAATGGTAATCTTGATTGAGTTGGTTCTCAAAGAAAAACCACTCMAGCACATCCCTCATTTCCCGGTTTTGYCGTGCGTTATCTACCGCCATTTCTTCTATGGGAGTGTTACGGTTGCCTCGTCTGTAGTGGTCTTTGACTGAGGCGAGTTCCATGCCTCTCTGTACTGTAATACCCTGAGTATTTTTCTCGATTGACCACCACCACTGATTTGTTCTAATCACAATAAATTCGTGATACAGCAAGGCTTGGGTCATCTGGAATGAGAATAACGGGCATTTATAAGCCCAGATCCTTTCAATCACTTCACTTTCTTGTATGATATCTCGGACTTGGTCGTAGTCAGTGAAGGGTAGCCCAGCAACTGCTTCAAGATCATCCTTGGAAATCTCGTGCCTTGGACCTTCTTGATCTGCGTGAGGGTCAAAGTACACTTTACTTTGCCAGTCTTTACCAGTCTTCTGYTTGCTCCCACCATTGCTGCTGCTGCTGCTGTTACCCATTTKTAGTGTCGTCGAATGTTCTATAAGAAAATATTTTAATTATCGAATGTCGATCGAATCAAATGCTAAAAATTTGAATGTCACAGTTAAAATCCAAAAACCGAAGCTCGTAGTTAGTGTTCACAGTATTCAATATTCTAAACATAATTATATATGTCCATCAATTTTCGATGGATGTGGCGCAGATGGGTGTGGTGTGCATTAATTCGAAAAGAAGTATACGTGGACGAAAAGTGAAAGGGGTACCAAAGCTGACTACAGCGACTTTCATGGTATATTTCAAAACAACTAAAAAAATTCTTTAGTTTGTCGGGAGCTCTCTCTATAAAGCAAAAAAAAAAAAAAAAGAGAGACAACCTGACAGACTGGTGGAATCAGTCTAAAAAATTAGATGCACTGGCATTTAGTATCATCGACCCGGCATAAATTTACAAAGAATATTTTCCATCCCCAGTTCTACATACCCTCGCGTGAAARACGTCTAACTACATATGAATGGGGAAACTGGAAGTTCCAGACTTACCTTATTTGACTGCCTTCGAGATCAAAAGAAGSAAAACAAAAACGAAAAGTCGCAGTGAGAATGAAGAATGCACATGACTACCTGCGTTTATATACAATTTAAACAATGCCAAACAACAAAGGCCAGTCTTGCACCCAATCAACTGGTTACTATCGGGCCGATCCTAGTGACCTAATCGATTATCATAGCTGACTGAAATCATGAAATCATTATAAATACATATCATTGACAAAAACCATCGGTAAAATCCCAGATAAAATGAAATTCTTTGAGCTAGTTCCTTTGCAGTGTCGTCCGTTGCCTCGTAAGGAGCCAATATCCTTCTATGGTCAAGGGAACAGCTGCGTGTCAGCATTTGTTTCACGGAGTAGACTTAGCAAGTTTCATCCGTGAAATCGAATTTAGACTTATGTACAGAGGAGCAGATCTAAAGATCCTTAAAGCCTTTTCTCTCTATATTATTCTCTCGTCTCTAGGATATTTCATCCTCAGTTCTTCTTCCCTGCATATCACACTGCCATTCTATTTTACAGTAATTTCTGGTACATGCAGAATTGCAGTGGGGGTCCTGTGTTAACAGCGGATGCTGTTGTTAAAATAACTATTGCGAAAAAAGTCAATCTAATATTAGTGACATCTATTATGAATGGATTGTGCAAAGCTCTTCCCCTCTACAGACACATAACGAAAGTTCTGAAAGGTCAAGGGCTGAGCCCAAAGCTTCTAAGATGAATATTTTGCTGGGCACTTTCAGTTCTATTCTTTCAGTTTTATTTTAGTTCTTGAAACTTCCTTAGAACACATATTTTATCTAACTAGCTTTAAATTATAAATATTCATTGCATTCTTCTGTTCATTTTTAAAACAAGATAAAAATCGTAGTTCGATCGAAAGGTTAAGTATGTGTTGCACTGATCGGGCTACCTGTGGTTCTGTGTTGGCCTCATTTCCATGGTGACACGCAACGCAAGTGACGCCTTGAATAGTTTGTACTCGAGATTTTCGACCTTGAAGCAAATTTACGTTTATAAAGCTCTTTTTTTTAGTTAATTACGGGATGTCGGAGGACAGAACAATACCGGGTTGTCCTTGGGCATTCGCTGATGATATGAGAAAGATGATAGACAAGAAAGAATTCAGGTAAAGYTTTCCCTTTTTACTTGAAACTTCATCGCCTTTGAAAGTTCTGTTGCTGACGGTTGCCYTGACATGAGCGATCAAAGTTCACTTAGTTTTGTAGTCCCGTATTCTTATTTATGTATTRATCCATGTTTCAGTGATGTAAAATTCATCGTTGGATCAAACAGAAAAGTTATTTATGCCAACAAGTTTATTTTGTGTGCAAGGTACGGTAAACAGCTGTTAATGTGTTTATGTCTAAGTTTATTACAAATCCTGAGCAATGATTTAATCTGTTTTCCAGGAGCAGTGTTTTTAAGAGTATGCTGGCTGATGATCATAACATCAAATCCAAGAATGTTGAACCTGATGTTCCTCTTGTCTTAGCTGACCTTGCTCCTGACGTGTTTTTGTCTATCTTAGAATTTTTGTATACAAATACATGCACYTTAACAAGCAAAAATGTAAGTTTATGTGACATTTACAGTCATTGTGATGTAAATAATTGGAATGGTAATGATGTTTCACATTTTATCAATGCAAACAGTGCCAATGTGGACACTGTACTTTTTCTTCTCTATTTCTCTCCTCCTAAGTTTTCATATCTTGACTCATACTCTTACAGACAGTCCTAAGTCCTTGAGATAATTTTAGTTGTGATTATCAATCAAGTAAATGATAACTTGTCCAAATTTAAGGGTTTCTTTTAACTAATGATAAACATTAATGATTACTAATACTAGATAAATACTATTTTTTGATAGGTTATGGACGTAATGGGTTCAGCTATTGAATATGGGCTGGAATATCTACAAAAGGTTTGGTTTTTGAAATAAAAAATCTGTTCCTTTATTCATTCACCAATCATCCATACGTTTACTTCATTCATGCATTCATTCATCTAATCATTTAAATAAATAAATAAATTAATTCATCCATCATCATTTCATCCGTTCGTTCTTATTTTTATGTCAAGTTTGATTTAGATTCATCAGTAAGAAACTGTCTTTYGTTTCTAATCAGATATGTGAACATTAYATTGGTGAAACATTGTCTGTGTACACTGCGGCTGAAGCCCTTCAGGTAATTAAGTAAGCTGTGTAATAAAACAGAAAATCTTCAACTTTAATTAGATAGATAGTGCTTTAGGCCTATGTTATTTGCTTTTATATTATAGCTATCATAGTACTTTTGCATTGAAGTATTTTTAYATTGATGGCAAATCTTGTCTTTCTACTTGTTCCTCACATAAAACTACAGACTGCAGTTACTTACAATCAAGAGGAATTACAAGAAAGATGTGTGGAGTACATTGAAGGACATACTCTTGATGTAGTGAAGACCAAAGGATTTCATGAACTGTCAGAAGACTCCCTTGCATTACTAATGAGAAGTGACAATTTACAAATGGATGAACTAGATCTCCTTAATGCAGTTAGAGAATGGGCTACGGTGAATGCTGTAAGGAAACCTTCTTTCCTTGCTTCCTTTCCMTKCCCTCCTTTTCTCATTACKTCATTACATCCTCTTTGCTTTCCCACTGCTCTCCCATACATTTCTCTTTTTATCCATTCATTATCTCTCTCTTCCGTTCAATAATAATCTTTTGTAATTTTCATCTACATTGTTTCTTTTATTTTGATCTCTTCATTTCATAATGCCTGTTTTTATAAAATAAATGAATTCAATGYTCATTCAGGTTGTATCTGGAAGAAGTGTTGCYGACATTGCACAAAGTGTAGTTCATCATATYAGATTAGGCCTTCTTACACCAGAAGAACTTCGACAAGTYGAGCAAGAMAACGAGAAAGATAACCTTATTCCAGTAAGTAACCTTTTTATTMAAAGTTGAGTGCCATTTTATTTTACAACTAAAGTGCTGTGGTAGAGAGTAGATTACTTCCCAGTCTACSAGATGTTTAGTCTCCTCGCARCCGTTCTTAKTGGCGGCYACTAAGAACAGCTGYGAGGAGTCTAGCAGATGTTGTAATACATTTCAAGTTACATTGGATTATAATTTTCATTGAAGGTCAAAGATGTACACGACTTACTGAATATTATTTTACGTTAATGTTGTCTTCAAGGTTCGGCAGTTTTCAGAGTCCTGGAAGTTCCATGCTTTGATAAATTCACCTCATCATAGTGCAGCTATAGCAAGACCTAGACGACGCGCAGGAACAAGACCAAGAGATACGTAGGATATTTTACGTTAATGTTGTCTTCAAGGTTCGGCAGTTTTCAGAGTCCTGGAAGTTCCATGCTTTGATAAATTCACCTCATCATAGTGCAGCTATAGCAAGACCTAGACGACGCGCAGGAACAAGACCAAGAGATACGTAGCATAGTAAACATTACGTAAATACTAACGTAACGTGCAGCTATAGCAAGACCGAGACGACGCGCAGGAATAAGACCAAGAGATACGTAGCATAGTAAACATTACGTAAATACTAACGTTAGTGTTAATGTATGATACTGTACGACTAGGTGCGGTTATATTATTGTTAAGACAACGCAGCCCGTTTTTGTTCAGACTCTGATGCGGTGTGCGGACTTGATTAGCTCTTTTATAGCAGCGATAGGCAGTGCTAATTTGATTATAAGTGTCAAAAATCAATTTTTTACTTTATTACTGAAAAATTCAGTAAATCAGAAGCACAAACATGCAAAAACAAAAAAACAAAAAAAAAACAAGCAAAGCCTTGTGTGCACATCGCSAGTGTGGACTCAGATTCAGAATCTGTAAAGTATTTTTGGGAGTAAAGTGTTGTTTTTTATTTTTGTTATCTTTTCCTGTTTAGAGTACTTGTTTACGTGGCTATATTATTGAATTATACATATATGGACCAACAGGGCCTAATACTTTTTTTCATTGATATTTCAATACTCCTATATCTGATCTTCTGGGAGCTTGTTGACTCGTTGCTGCTCTTCTAACCTCTATATGCAGATCTACTCGACTCGGAGGCAGCCTACTCGAAAAAAAGCTACTCTGCCTCGGAGCTACTATACTTGGAACTATGAAAGATACTCAACTTTTTCAACTCTATTAGAAAAAGTTACACTATACTTTGCTCAGAGCTACTCTTCTAGAATCTACCGCTCTTGTCGAAGCTATTATGAGCAACTCTGCCCAACTCTACACACAGCTACTCTACTCGGAGTTACTCTGTTCTACTGCACTCKAAGCTACTTGACTAAGTTTTGATATTGAGTATTAAAAAGAGGGCTAATGCTCACCAACTTGTCGCTGTAGGCATATAACRTGTAAGTAGATAGCTCCGGTTTCACCTCATTAGTACTTTGATTTAAGAAGAATATTACTTCAAAACACTTCAAAGTAGTGTTTTGTTTTTATGAATTAATGTCTTGCCAAAGGCTTCTCATTTTAACCGTTTCATGTTTCTTGATTTAGTTTTTCACGGCTTTGACACAATTCTAGTCTTTTCTGTGAACTCGTTCTGCCAATAGCAGTTGCAGCGTTATGCGTATGGATCTCGTAATGTTGTAACACCTGCAAACCTTTGCAAATAATTCCCTGTCTAAAATACTAGACGAGAAACAGGTTTTGCCTTCTTTACAATCAGCAAGCATGAAACACCTCTTAAGATTTATCGCTTTTCACTTCATTTCAGCCACTTTCTTTGCTGTTTTGTTATCTTTCTGTAATCCGTTTACTTATAATGGCGGGGTTCTTGTTGGCTACACGTACAAGACAGTGCTTGCTGTTGATTGGTACGATTGTCTTAGCGAGTGCTCCTCGGACAGCCGTTGCTATTCTTACAACTAYAAACCAAAGGGGAACCTCAAATCGTGCGAGTTGAATAGCTGTGCTTTTAGGAGTAAATGCGAGGCCGAGAAAGCTCTTATCAAAGACTCGAGATTTGTATTTCATCAACTGAARTTAACGGAGGTAAGGAAACAAAAACACGCGCTAYAAATTAAATTATTKGTTAYTACTSYAGTTTCATCAGTTTGCCAGTTTTTCTTATATGTTTTCTTTATTCCTGTGCCAGACTGAAAGGATTTGTCAAGGGAAGAAGGTACTACATACTTTACCAACAAGCCAACCAAACCAAGGTAGAGTGCAGAGATAAGAAACCTTACTKTTCATAAAACTTTCAAAAGGTGTCAGATTTATCGAAAAAACAAAGACAAACGTTGTTTACTTCTGTTTTAATAAGATAAATATGATTAAGATTCCTGTCTCGCGGGAAGTGCTTGACTTGAGTTTTTATGTTGAATGTTATGTTATATGTTTAAAGTTGTTATGTTCGCTAACACTGTTTCCATCTGCGTAAACTTCACGGCAAACATAGCAAATACACAGCAAACATAAACATGAGGGACACTAGAGTAACATTCGTAGAAATTGCAATATTGAAAAACGTATAAACATGCGCACATTTTCATATTTTTATTGGGAACTTTCAAAGAAAAGTACAGCAAATGATTGTACTTTGTTGACACAACCTCTCTAAATAGATCGTACTTCAATTTCCATTCATTTTTTTTGTTATTCCTTCTCATTTTCCATACTACTTCTTCCAGTATTTATGCTTAACTGCTTTTGCAGTGCTTATCTGTGTTATATTACCTAAATATCAGTGATGCTCTGGCCCGCATCGAGAAGCTCGTATCAATCTTATTTGTTCGAAGTGGACTGTGTGGAAAAGAGGAAAAACTAAATGCTACAGTACTTCTTTCTTGTGAAAATTTGATATATCGATAAAATGATTCATCGAGAATATATGGCAAGTTATTTATTTRTGTTCTTGGTTCTTTGAGTTCTTAAAAGGGAAATATGTCACGTGATAGCAGGTGTTTCTACATATATTGCACGAGTACCAAGTCTAGATTCGCTTTCACCTCAAAGTACCGGAAATATAAGACGTAATCAAATGATTTTGAACTTGAAAATTACATTAATCAGTTTGCTAAGTGGTTGTTTGTCGGTCTGTAGTACTTTTTTGTGACATTTTCGAGTGTTATTGATAAGTGCTCACGCTACTTAGTCAGTTATATTTTTAAAAAAAGTTAAAGTCAATTTTCAGAAAAGAAAGTGCTCGTTTTGAGAGCGAAGCACGCTATTTAATAACACTCCGACAAGAACGTGTGTATTGTTGTTGAAGTGATAAAATATAAGTAGGAGGAGAACTTTATAAAGATAATTTATTTATTTTTGTTATTGTTGATAGAAATAAAAATGGGTGTTTCCTGTAGTCAGAGAGTMAAAGTGTTTATTGATGGCAAATTGCGTTCACCTGGATAYCTTTCTTGCTCCTTGAACACGACATTTCTCTTTAAAATGAACTTCAGACCACAACTCATAGCACTAGAAGGGGCGGACGATACACGTGGTCARCCAGGCCTTGTAGCRTCACTAGATGACAATGTTACAGATACGTCATGGAAGTGTTCTTCAGTGACATTTTCTGGTTGGGAGAAGGCTGCGTATGACGACCATTTCTGGSCAAATGCGGTGAGCTATTGCAATAATTCAAATCCAAGATGGCCTCTCGTTAAAGCAGCGGGTATTAGTGGAAAAGCTGAGTGGATTTGGGCCGACSAACCTGTTGCCAATAGACATGTTTATTGTAGAAAAAAGTTAAACGGAAACTTTGAACCTTTCACTAACAACAAATAAACTGCGGTTTTTAAGTTTGAGTGACAGGTCATGAGTTGGTTCTCATTCTTATTTACGTCATGCGTCAAAACGAGGGCTRCACTACTAGGTAGAAGATGTGTAAAAGAACAGTAGRGATAGCAAATAGCAACGCATTAWTGACCGTTTAATATAAACTATTTAAAAGTAAACACACAGTGATACTCAGTCACTTTATTCCGATTAAAACCGATGATAATGCATGTATTTATGTTTGCATAGACTGACAAGATTTACTTGTGATGACAGTTATTCTAAGAGTTCTTGGATTTTCTTTTTAAATATAATACGATATTCATATATATTCTTGAATCATAAAATAATAAATAATATGTAAAAAATTCTAATCTCTTTAAAAATGAATCATCTGAACTATTAAAACGAYTTCTGTGAATTGATATGCTACATGTTGAACATCCCTCAAATGTTGGGTCGATATCTTCACCATGTCTTGGCTCCAGATCCTACGAACGTTGATATCATGAGGGCGTGGAAWTTTTTTTCTTATAGCGAAGGTACTTGATTTCCTTTAGACAATCGGGCCAATCTTGATGATAAGACATGCTGTGACGTCAAATCTGGTACCCTTCGAAGTGAATCCCTATGAAATAATGTATAATATCAGATATTCATTAAAATAGTGGCCCATCAGAGAGATTATCGCTCTGTATCAGAGCTTACCTGCTTGTGGTATCATCGGGTTTTGTTGACGTGCTAGCAGCTTTGGCATCAGATGCAAATTGATAAACGATAAGCAAACAATCGCGACACAGTTCAACGATACGACGACAGCAGCTCATTTCGGTCTGAAAAACGGTCATTCAATCTGTCAATCAATGACTGAACCATCAATCAATCAACTAAAAAAAACTTACCGATGAAAGAACTTCGGTACTTTTACTAAAAATTGTTTCCCACGAATTGCTACAAAACAAAAAGTTCATTTATTTTTGTCAGTTTTTTGGCTTTTGTTTTTCCCGAATCTCCCACCTCTTTTCCCATCTCAGTTCTTTCTAGCGCTACCTTACCCTATACTCGAGAAGCAGTTCCATAATCCTTGCCCATGACTCCATAGCAATCTGTTGAAGACTCGYGAGAATATTCTACACAGCCTTAGGTTATCAACATCAGAAGATCGCCATATTCTTTGCAATATCGCTCGAGTATTGGTTCTTACAATGTCAATGACCTGTGGTGAGAAGACTATGAAGTCAGAAGCATTCATTTTACTATACAAATATAGTTTACAACATGAGYAGYCGTGTTGTATGGGAATTACATTCTCGAGCCSCAGGMGAGARAKTGTAATTCCCATACAACACGGACGCGAATGTTGTAAATACAATTACACCATAGTACAGCAACGTGATACAAATCTTGGCAAAGGMAGAAAGCTTTGATGTTTTGAACAGGGAGAACTGGKCGAAAAGAAGGACCACTGACATGCACTGACTATGCATACAAACAACGTCTACTGCAAGCCTCAATTACCTTTCGTCGCTTAATGGAGTCAAGTTTAACAAGCCAATAGGAAGCGACACGTGGTTTGTGAAATTTCCAGTTTTCTTGRATCTTGAAAATAACAAACATGAATGATCAGAATAATTAGGGGTCAACTCCATGAAAACTGCAGTATTGATAATTGTCACAAGAAATGAATACAAGAGAAAAGTTTAAACAGCAATATTACAGTTATTATGTACGGTTTTGATAAGTACTTACATTCTCTAGGATGAGTACTTACATTCTCTAGGATGATTTCTGCTTCTTCGTCGGTTTTTCCAGGAAATTTTATCCTCATATCTTCAAATGCTTGCAGAGTTCTTCTGCATAATTCTTCTTCTCGTTCGCGCACAGCAGCGTTCAAATACGCAGCATCCTACAAAATATCAAATTTCTTTACTTATTGAACGACAAAAAGAATCGGCATAGATACTCATAAGACACTTTCTCTACTTCTCCCTCAAGTTCAAACAACCAATCAGGACTTACGACTACTGGATTGAATTTCATTGGTGGAGACGATAATGACGTCACAATACGTTGAGTAGATCTTGAAAACGAAGATCCCAAGTCGGATGATTGCCTTTGAGATAGTAACGACGAACTTGAAGTATTACTCGCTTCCTCTTTTTGGAATTTTGAACTTGGCATGGAAGAGAGAGGCTGATGGGATACAGAAGTATGGTATGACAGTGAGAACAGTGTTACCACGTCAATCAGGACTGACTATGATGATGGCGATGATGATCATGATTATGGCGAGGGCAAGCAGGGTCTCTTTTTACGTTGTTTATAGATTTTCGAGGAGATGTAGAGACTCTGCTACCATTGATGGAGGTGATCAAGGTATGACTATATTTGATGGCAATGACTATATATGATGGCAATGACTATGTATGATGGCAATGACTATGTATGATGGCAATGGCTATATATGATGGCAATGACTATGTATGATGGCAATGACTGTATGATGGCAATGGCTATATATGATGGCGATGACTATGTATGATGGCAATGACTGTATGATGGCAATGACTATGTATGATAGCAATGACTATGTATGATGGCAATGACCATATTTGATGGCGATGACTATATTTGATGGCGATGACTATGTATGATGATGATGAGGGTTTTTAATGTCACCAAATGTATGAATATGTCAACAATTGTTAAGTAAGTGATGACTAGATCCATACCTTCGGCCCCTTGCTAAGCGGTCTGTATCCATTTTGAGCGTCCTTAGATTCAAGATGCGTTAACGTTTCGTCTGCTTCACACTGCTCCAACAAATCTAGGATTTCTTCTTCCTGTTGGAATAAGCAAAACAACGGTCATCAGAGTCTGARCTGGTTTTCATAGCATGGAGTCTTAATGCAGTGTARGGCGCCTATGAAGTGGTGTTGTGTTATGTAATGTGGTCGGGTGTGGTATAGCAGTTGTGGTCATGGCAGCACGTTTCTCACCCTTAAAGTACTGAATGGCTGGTTGACTTCCCTCTGAAGGGTTGACGCACGACCTAAAAATGAATGAATGAACAAATGAAGGAACGGATGAAAGAAATAAACGGATAGGACGGTTTAATATAAGGAATATATAGATAAAGACGCTAAATCTACATAAGAAGAGTCAGAACAGCTATGTAGTAGTCTGGAGAAAAGATATTCATTTTTCATGGTTCATATAGAGTTCTGTGCATGTACCTGACAGAAATAACTTGAACGCGTCTGCCAGCAAACCATTGTATTTTTCAAGCTTGCTTCGTTCATCCGGCGGAAAAACTCGCTTAAAGTTTCCCTACCAAAAAAACAACAACACATGATTCATGATGACGTAGGGATCGATACAAACTGATTGTCACGTGAATAAAACAGCCAATCAATGGCTTCTCTCACCATATTCATATTTTCATATTCTTCTCTGGCTGCTTCTTGACGTATTCTGTTTAATCTGTGTTTCTTTTGAAAAAGGAACGTAATATTAGCTGAYTCAAACTGTTACTGAGTAACTTAGTGAAATAAAATTACCAGCTCAAGTCTTCGTTTGTTCAACACTATTCTCTTCTTTTCCAGCTCCTGACAAAAGCAAACAAAGTAATAATAATCAATAACAGCGTTAACGATGGATGAACCCGAGTTTGTTGTTCTTAGGGGTGCAGCCCCTTCCCCCTCCTCGAATATCGTGAATTTACCCCTAATATAAGACGCAATTACTCTCAAACTTACAGACATCCCATATTCGCTGCGTTTCGGCTGWGTCAGTAATCGTTTTTGAGATTCCGCTTTCTCTGCCGCTATTCCGCGTCTTCGATCGCTTGCCCTAAGTAGACAAGATRTTAAGTAAGGGTAYGGTACTCGTWAATCTTTTTTTACAATGTTATCAGTATCTTACTTGATATTAAGTAGTCGTAGAGTGTCCCTCAAGGCACCTCCCTTGATTTCTGCATCTAACTTTGCGTCTGTACCAAAACTGGGAGAACGATTCACCTGCCGAGCGAAGAAGTTTGATTGAAATATGGAGGAAAAGAACCTGTTACATTCCATCAAATAGCAATTTGAACAAAAGACGAACTCAAACGGCGAAAGAAGCAAGAGTCTTGAGAACAAAACTTATCCTAGCTGACTAAACTTTAAAACGGCCGGTATGCTGTACATGCTCAAGAATCTGCTACCGCACAACACAGTAAAGGTTTAAGGTATATAGTTTTCAAGACAATAGTTTGCCTTACCTCTAGTACCCAAGGTCGTAACTTTTTGTCGAGTATRACATCAAAGCCCAGTAATTCAAAACAAACGCTGTCACTTCCTGGTAAAGAGCCTGGACGAGCCATACGGTACGAGTGTAACAAGTGAGGTTGAGCTACAATTAGCGTCTTGACTATCACATCCTAAGAACACAGAACCTTGTTATAACCAAGTATGTACATCATATAAAGACAGATATCATTTTTTGTGCAATATAACTTCTCTCTCAGGATTAGGTTTCAAAGCGTGCGCACATTCTAATCTCACACAGAAAAAATATAAAACTTCACTCACTGAGTTGTCTTAAACTTTGTGATTTTGTGTCTCTCTTTTTCGTAAATCGATAAAAAATGTTTAGCATTGGTATAGAGTAATTACGTGAGAAGAGAGAGAATACGCGAAGAGGAACACTCAAGGGATACTCCCCTTCGCCTCGTGAAAGATTTTCTCGTGTTTTGAGTAATTTCTGTTTACTATGTAACCTAATATGGCACGCGCGCGCATCAAGGACTTTCCTATTAGACGTTTACATTCAAGTACAGCTTACCGTTATACTTCTCCATATAGCATTAACATCATAATCCATGGACTGTAACCATTCTTTCAAATATTTAATGGTACTGCAAAAATAGGTGTTTATTAGAGGTGCAAGGCGGAATATCTTTGCTTTTGTAACAGTGTAAAGTATGTGTTTACGATTCCGAGATCACAAAGTATCACAGACGCGCGCATGAAAGCAGGATACTTTCGGACAAAACKCCATGAGCTGAACACTTCCGTACGCATTTCGGAAATCGTCTATCGGACTTCAATCTCACCGTTTGCTACCATTGTTAGTACTGTCGTCCTTGTCAAAATTTTCATTGTGTTTATTGATAGAGTAGTTGGTTAAATGCATGAACAGCTCGTCCTGAAATACATACAAATAGCTGCGGTTAGTCTCTTCCCTGAAGCCGCTATAGGTGTCAAGTACGGACCGCACTAATGCGCGCAAAATTTAGATCTGAATCGGAAAAGCTGGTATTCGCTGAAATRAATACACAACTTGATCAGTTCCTATGCAAACCACTGGCGGTCAATACTCCTAGTCTTACCATATTGTCATCAGAAGGTGCTTCATAGGGCTCTGTTCCAAGACGGACCTATCACAACACACAGTCGGTTTAGAACACTAACARTAGTTAAAGAAATTATAAGGARCYTCTGAGAGTAAAATGCAATTRTATCAATGCAATTCATGCGCGCCCCAAGTAACATTAAAAGGCAGTTATTTCATTCCTTACCAGTCCATCGTCGTAAACAAAGATCTTCAGAGGATCACAGGAAACCACRAGTACATATATTCGTAAATCAAACTTGAAACCATCGAGTAGAAAAGGCTACAAATAAAATAGGTTTAAAGACGAGGTTTAAAAGCACAAAGACAAAGACTAGTCGTAGTGCAGGCGTTTCTTTCCTTTCGGTCTTCTCCCCACTTTCCACTTGCATCCCAATGGTAAAAATATATAACCCTCCTACACGTTGCATTTATAGTTCCTGATAATATAGTGTTTTCTTACCCTGTCGATGTATTCTTGAATAACTATTTGTTCATGTGATGGAACTCGGTCACCATTTCTTATCAACGATATCCTGAGACAACAAAATGATTGTMAAATAAATGAGACATTCATATYGCGCTGYGTTGTCCATTTTTCTTAACACAAATCTCACCCRTTTCCCATGGCTCCATTGGCTGGTTTCATGATGAACGTTTTGACTTTCCTTTTCTTTTTAAGATCTCTACAGTAACACTGAAATGATGCATATCTAAAGACTAGTTAAGGACGCAATACATGTGACTCAATAGCAGAGCTAGACAACCTATGGCAGCTATGGGAAGTGATCAATATCATTTTCTATATGTTACAATAACAGGACTTGAAAATGGACCATTATTTTAATAATATTTTAAAAATATCAAGGATACTCTGCAGGAATCACCCATGTCTGAGGAGTAAAGCTGTATTCATCGGGGTGAGCTCTTTGCATTCTGAAAGTACAAAGCAACAGACTATGTTAGTCTCTTTGGATTTAAAGTACTAGCGCTTTGGTACCTACCTAATGAGAAATCACATACATGTTACATAGTGTACTTACTTGGCAATATTACGAGCAAGACTGTCCTTTTTACATATTTCACCCATTCCAGGAAAATGATTGATTCTCTGATGAAAAGGAAATATCATAACATTAATATTTGCATAAATGATTGGTATTTGTATATATAGCCTCTTTCCACAGCAGCCCATTTCGGCATGCAATGCTATCCACCATGGATRTCCATGGAGGGTAGGATTGAGGGACAAGAAAGAGATGGCTGCAAAAGGARTCTTGGTTGAATTACCTGGTAGGGTTTAAGTTCAGTAATTCTGTCAGATGGAACAGCGGAGTCACTCCAATAGAAGAAACTGAAAAACAAATGATTATAATACAAGGGTGRATTCAGKGGTTGGGGTAGATCAAATGGRARGYTKYT